AGACAGACAGACAGACATAGCTGGATGGGTATGTGGATGCATGAGTAGATGGATCATAGATAGATAGATAGATAGATAGATAGATAGATAGACAGACATTTAGATACACACACACACACACAAATTGTGGTGTTTTGCAGTTCAGTGTATCAGAAGGGGAAGAGTCGGCTTCCATAGTTAGAAGGGTGGAAGCCTTTGAATATTAGTTTTGCATAAACAGAAACGGGGGTTTCTTACGGTAGGCTGTGGCAGAATCCCTTTCACTCTGCTCTCTGCTGATGAACATGGTGAGGGCCGAATAAGGAACATGGAAGCACTGCCAAGGAGAAAAGGAGGAAAGATGCTAAGCTTGTACACACAAATTCCATTTGTAAATGCAAAATATAGAAGGATAATATGCTGGGCTATGGCTGCAATCAAGATTTGATTTGATGTAACACATGCAAAGACATACTATTTTTGGAAGAAATGATTTGGGGATGTGCAAGGAGAAACCAGCTTTGGGACCTTATGAGGACAGAGACCAACAGGCCGAATTAAATTCTAAAATATGTTGGAAGACTTCAGAGCATATTCAGCACATAAAATCTGATTCAGATTTTATCAGGCTATGTTGATGAATTGATTGGGATACCTCTACGGCAAAAATGGTGCCCCCCCCCCCCCCAATTACAAGGAGTAAAAAATATTCCTACAATTGTAAACATTAAGCCAAGAGATTCCAAGCAGTGGGCTAAGAGTGGATGTATCTGCAATAGAACAAGGGGGACTAGAATCTTAGAAACAGGTTATCAGAGATATACATTGTATAATCATGGGTCTCCAACCTTGGCAACTTTAAGACTTGTGGACTTCAACTCCCAGAGTTCCTCAGCCAACTTTTCCCACAAGTCTTAAAGTTGCCAAGGTTGGAGATCCCTGTTCTATACAGCAATATATACACAGCAGAGTCCATTCAAGTTTGCTTCTCCTTGCTAAAATGTTCCTTTCTTGCTTATTTGAGCTCCCCTCCCATCTTGACAATCTTAAATCCAGCATTTTGCCTATATGCTGGTTTTACGATAGCCAATAAAGGTGCTGTATGGAGCAGAAGATCAAAGCAAGCAAAGGCCGGGCAAAAGAAAGGAACATGGAGAAGAGGAAGGCCCGAAAATCTGCATTGCGAAAGGACAGACTCACCGTCACAAGGGTCTGAAAAATGCAGTAGAAGAAAAGGTACCACATGACTTGTCCCTGAGAGATGTCGGGCACCAACCATATCATGAAGTAGGAGATCACACCAAAGGGAGTGGAAAAGACAATCCTGTTGGGAGATCAAGTCAAATGAAAGAGTAAGAGAAAGAGTAATATACTGGGGTGCTTGGAGAAAAGACAAAGAAAGGCAGGGTTGAGCTGTCACGCCGTTCTGATATGTGTTAAGTTGGTTTAAGGCGGTCTGATCAGTGAGATCTCAGCAAAATCCCAACCAATTTGGGGAAGAGACCTCACTGTTCTGTTTGGATCCCACTGGCTGCACCTTGAACATGTTAACCCCAGCTGAACAACCCAACTTAACCATAGTTATGGAACGTTTCAATGAGAACGTGCAAAGGCAGCACTAGATTGAAGAAAAACCACCAACACAATACACGTTCTCGGGTTTCTACCTAATGCCAATTTTCTCACAATCCCCAAGCTGGGTTAACAGAATATAACTGCTTCCCAGAGCCAAGCCCAAAAAAACCACACCATATGGTGGCTTATCCTGGTGGTTTAATTGGTCCAGCATGCTAAACAACAACTGAGAACCCCAAACTGCTGAGCACACAGTAGCCAACTCTACTTGGCTTAATCCTGTGAAGTATGTGGACCCAGCCTCTCTCTTTCTTCTCTCTCTCTCTCATGCACACACTCAGCCTTCACTGATGGCTCTAAGCCATTAAGTGGTTTGCTTCTTTTTGGCTTAATGTAGGAATAAACAAACAAGACGATGATCTATGAACATCCTTTTCATGCCCTTAGAACGTTAGGCCTTTTTTTTTTTCATTGCAAAATAAATCTCTTAAGACTTCTCAGTGCTTCAACCACCTAATGTACCCCTTAAAGCTCCTTGTCCACTCAAGACCAGCCCCACCCCCGCTTTTGAGTGCAGCTTTCAAAATGGCTTGCAAGTCCTAGGACGACATCAACCTTGGCATGGGATTCATGGCTTTGTGTTATGCAGGATTTAAGCCATTGTTCTAACTCACAAACCAAGCCATTGGAGCTATTTCAACTAAACCCCACACGATGTTTCTTTCGAGTTAGGCTTCTTCCCAAGCCATACAGTATCTGTCGTTTTGCAGATGTTGTGGCTTTCAGCTTCTCCTGGTTCCAACTATCATGGCCACCAGAAAAGGACTGTAAGAGAGACCTACCGAAAAATCTGGAAGATGTCAAGATGCCTACTGTTAATTTAAACAGCATATTTACATCTAACTATAGTTTAGGAAGCCATGATTAGGAACCCTCTCATATGAAATAAAACCGGCAAGACTAAACTTTTATCTCTAACTGAAACTATATTTCTAAGATCCAGGGAGTTCAGTTAAGCACGATTCTCTCTAGTCCAACGTTTCTCAACCGTGGCAGTTTGAAGATGTGTGGACTTCAACTCCCAGAATCCCTCAGTCTACGCTTCTTCAAGTCAATAGGCCTTACAAATTTCTAAGAGTTTTAAGTTTTCAAAATGACCCTATATGTTCACATCTCCTAGGACCTCCTAGGTAGTGGAGGCTAGTTGCTAGGTTGGTGGAGCAAATTTCCATAATGCATCAGAAGCAGAGCAATGTTTTTGCAAAAAATGTTGTTCCTAAGGAAAAAATGTCCAGAAAAGCAGCAGGAAGAGGACTAAAGGAATCTAGACACTACTTGCAAGTGGCGGCAACATGCCAAGATGGTCTTCTTTAGAAGAAAAGGGAGAAAGGTTCTGATCTAAGTATGGTATATAAAATCATACATTGCAATGTCCTACCTGTCAATGAGTACTTCAGCTTCAACCATAACAACACAAGAGCAAACAATAGATACAAACTCAAGGTTAACCGCACCAAACTTGATTGCAGGAAATACGACTTCAGCAACAGAGTGTCTGGAATACTCTACCTGGCTCTATAGTTTCTTCCCCAAACCCCAAAAACTTTAACCTTAGACTGTACTATTGACCTCACCCCTTTCCTAAGAGGTCTGTAGGGGGCGTGCATAAGCGTACCAACTACCGTCCCTGTCCTATTGTTTCTTTTATTTTTTCTTATATGTACCCATTTCATATATTCATAACTATGTATATACTTATACCTATTATCTTGTAAGCAATTGACAAATCAAATAAATTAAATAAATAAATACATAAATTAAGCCTGCGTGCCTGATGTGTAAAACGAGACCAGGGAAAAGAGAAACTCAGCCAATCCATTCAAGTGAGGTGGAAGGACTGAACACATTTAGCTGGCTTCATGTTCTGACCCAGGCTTCCTCAAACTTAATAAAACACACACTGAATTTAAAAGTAATTTGGAGACTAAAGGGGATATGATTTCTCCTGCAGCACAGGCTGGCCTTCACTTTTTACCATTCAAATGAAAAATGTTCTCTTCTTCCAGATGATGGGTTATTTCCTGGGGTTTCCCTTGCAGTCAGGCAAGTTATTGGGGAAAACTTATTTTGGGTTGAGCAGGGAGCACGGAGATGACAAGGAGAGGAAGAGAAACAAAGAACACTCATTTATAATGTCTTTTTTTTTAGTCAGGTGGGAGAAGGGAGAAAATTTTACCTATCATCTAGAGACATGCATAGCTCAACTTCCCTAAACGTTGTGACCATTTTACGTAGCTTTTATGAGTGCCAGAACAATGGTCTGTTGGAAAGGAGAAGAGAGAGGGGAGGGGAGGGGAAGGGAGGAGAGGAGAGGAAAGGGAAGGAGAAGAAAGGAAAGGAGAAGAGAGGAGAGGAAAGGAGAGGGAGGGGAGGTGAAAGAAAAGGAGAAGGAAGGAAATTTCTAACAGGTTTCTGACTTTAGAATGCTTTCTGTTTCTGCACCAAGTTCTGTCTGTCTGTCTGTCTTATGGATTTGTTTGTTTGTTTTTATCTATGCACGTGAAATTTATTGGCTGATCATCTTATCTCAAGCCAACTCTGGGCAGCTTACAACCATAAAAGATAAAAACTATATACAGTAAAAACGTAAATAAGTGAATACAAAAAGCAAAAACACAGCAGCCCAATGAAAAGAAGACGGGAGGGTGGGGGAAATGGGACCTTCTCCCCCTGTGATGCCCCCCCCCCACTGAGGCCCCCAAGCTAAGCGGCAGAGCCAGGTCTTTGGGCTCTTAGGGAAGGTCAGGAGGGTTGAAGCCGACCTCATGGGCCTTGGAGATAATTTTATACAGGTAGTCCTCGACTTATGACCACAATTGAGCCCAACATTTCTGCTGCTAAGCAAAATTAAGTGATTTTCGTCCCATTTTACAACCTTTCTGGCCACAGTTGTTAAGTGAATCACTGGCTTGTTAGGTTAGTAATACGGTTGTTAAGTGAACGTGGCTTCCTTGTTGACTTGGCTTGTCAGAAGGTTGCCAAAAGCGACCACGTGACCATGGGACACAGCAACGGTCATATAAATACAGGGCAGTTGCCAAGCGCCTGAATTTTGATCCCATGAACACAGGGATGCTGTAAAGGTCATAAATGTGAAAAAGGGTCGTCAGTTCCTTTTTTTCAGAGCCGTTGTAACTGTGAACAGTCGCTGAGTGAGCTATTGTACGTCAAGGGCTACCTGTATCCCACAAAACCAGAGTTCTCTCTCTCTCTCTCTCTCATTTCTTTGGCGTCCTGCACAAAAGAGGCAAGATGAAAGCAGGAAGTGGAAAAGGAAGATCCTGGACGTGCAGGTTTTCCTCCCAGCTAGTTCTTTCCAGTGAAGTGGAACGTAAAAATGACGTGTCCCTCAAAAAGGAAGCAGCCCCAGGTAGCAGCTCAACCCGGAGCTTTCTCTCCTCCTCCTCCTCCTCCTCCTCCTCCTCCTCCTCCTCCTCCTCCGCGTGCTTCTGATACACACAGGGCTTGCTAGTTACTCAGCCTTTCCATGATCTCCTCAGCTCGCTTATCTTTACAAACTGCCCCTAGATCTGAAAAGAAAGGAAACTGACGTGGCCAATGCCGAAAATGTGGTTTGCTCAGGGGGAGGGAGGGGGGAAATGGCCTTTCAGGAAGGAATCCCTCCCACCAGAGACTGCCCGTGAGAGCCGCCGAGCCGAGCTCTTCAAGAACAAACTGCAGCCAGCCAAGAATATACCCAGTTTTATTTCTGTCTAGAAACCACTTCTAAACTGTTGTGGTCAGGACAGAAAACAAAACAAAAGTAACATTTTGACTTTTGGTTTTGTTGATTAAAGTAATTTGTTGTTTTGGCAAGAGTGCTTATATACCACCCCACAGTGCTTTACAGGAGGGGTTTACAGCGGCATGAAAGCTGCAGGCGCCCCTTGCAGCCCGAAAGGCATCCTCCGAAACTGGTAACTACCAAGAGGACAGTTGAACATGGTCTTCCATTTGCAAAGCTGGCTGAGGAATTCTGGGAATTGAAGTCCACAAGTCTTAAAAGTTGCCAAGGTTGGAGATCCCTGCTTTTACAGCACTCTCCGGGCAGTTTACAAAATCAGCCTATTGCCCCAAAAATCTGGGTCCTCATTTTATCAACCTCGGATGGATAGAAGGCTGGGTCAACCTTGAGTCCCATCAGGATCGAATTCCAGGCTGTGGGCAGAGGCCTTGGAGATCCCCTAGTCCAATCCTCCGCTCAAGCAAGAGAACCTATACCAGTAGACCCCAATCCTGGTTCTTGGACCAGCACTAGGCCACGGCATGCCAGGAACCAGGCCACACAATCAAGCAAAGCTCCATCCAAGGGATGCAGGCAGAATGGGAAACCACATCCCCTCCGGTCCATGGAAAAACCTCTCTCCATGGAACTGGTCCCTGGGGCCCAAAAAGTTGGGTGTCGCTGCCCTATACCATTCCAGACAAGTGGCTGTCCAGCCTCTTCTCAAAAACTTCCAGTGATGAAGCCCCTACAACTTCTGAAGGCAAGTAGTTCCACTGGTTAATTATCCTCACTGGTAGAGAGTTTCTCCTTAATCCCAGGCTGTTTCCTCTTTCAATCAGTTTGCCTGCTATACTGTACTCTAAACCAGGGGTCCCCAACCACCGGTCCGTGGACCGGTCCCGGTCCGTGGAACAAATCCTACCGGGCCGCTGGTTTGCTGGGCGCCGCCATCTTGTTTTGAT